CGTTATGTGAATGTTCAACATGTGTAACTGTTAAAATAACACATTTGATACTTCAGTGTCGATTAACGGTATTGATTTATGAATTGTGTTAATTTTTGACATAATATTTGCGTTACTTTTCAACACGCTCACCTTGTATTGTTGATTAACAGAAAAATGTGAGTGGAACATTTGTGGGGCATGTGAAATGTGTTAAATTTAACAGAAAATTGTTTACTCCGCAGAAGCGTTCCTTTTGAATTTCACATGCGAAAGGACAAAGTGAAGACGAGCGGTTGAGCCTAAGTTAGTCAGAGCGGTTTTATACAGTAGCGGGAAGATTAACGGCGAGATTAAAAGGAACCGATCAAGTTGTTAGATAAAGATAAGAAACCTGCCTTCGTTGGTTATCATAACCGCGTTGTATGAAAAGCTGAAAATTTCTTGTACGAAGTGATTCTCCCAATTAGACGTAGTGTACTTTATTAAACGTTGTGAGTTGAATGTCGTAACTGAAGAAACGTAAAAATCATCCTGCCAGTACGTACTCCCAGAAAAAGGAAAGCGGAGGGAGCTTACGAAACCTTAGCCGCGAGGTCGTAATTTTCGGACGAACGCGACGAAAACGAACGCCGATACGCCGAGGCGCAATCTGATATTCCGGCGCGCCACACAAAGTCGCACTCTACTTAATTAATTAAGACCCGAAGCGCGCGTCCGAGGAGTGCGCATCGGTATCGCAGCACAACATCGTCTACTCTCGTGCGTGCGTGCGTGCGTTTAGGAGGCTAGTCCTCCTTCGCCCGGTAAATACCGGGCCGGAATTCAGCCCGCTAGATTGAGAGATATTCCAGCCATCCGCGCGCACACGAACGCGCGCGCACGCACACACGGGACGCGCAGGTACACACGGGGGAGAGAAGTGACGGTGAGCGAGCGCGTCCGTACGAGCCGCGCTCGCGGAGTGTGCGAGGCCCTTCGTTGAGCGACGGGTGGGGATCCGCGCGGTTTTTCTGGTGGGAGCAGGCCGCTGCGTGCGGTCCCTTCTTCGATGGACCACCCAAGTAGACCGGCTTACGCCGCTCGTACACACACACACACGCGCGCGCCTACACCGAGGCCGCGCGTACGTGCTCTACACCTACACACCTGCCTCGCGCAGCGCACCGTCAGATGTTGACGCGCGCGCGTACGCACGCGTGCGTACGAACGCGTGTGCGTTTAGATGTACTCGAGGGAATCGTACGGAAACAAACCACGGCCATTTATGAATGAACCGAACGATCCGTCCGTCCGTCCGCGCGATTCCGCCTGCGCTCGCGGACGCCCCTTGATTACACGCCGCTGAAGAACCGTCTGGATAGCTCGGCTAGCTTCTCCACATTTGCGCTCCGACTTTGTTGCGCTCTCTGCGCTCGTGTTGCGATTCGCGAGGGTACACGGCTCGCGCTCGCCGGCCGGATCCGTTTAACCCTAAAGGGCCTGACGTCGAGTGTCATATGGTTTACTGCGAGCCGTTGCGATGCGAAATTAACTGCTACACGCATCGTTGGATTCAATAGAACGGCACGATTTTTTCCCGCTCTCCCGCGCTGCTGCGCAAACTTTGTATCACAACGCAGCCGGTAGAAGCAACTCTTCAATTTCTTTTCGTCAGGGGAACTTTAGGAAAGAGCGGAAAAGTCCGTACTTTGGAATTCTGTTTTCCCGAAATTAACATCGATAATAAATGTTTCATCAGCAGTCGTAATATTTCACGGCGATTTTAAGATTTTCGGAGAGAGGCAGAGAAGTTGGTGTTGCGTGCGCTCATGCGTGTGTAACTTTAGCTGGGCAAAATTATAATATTTGATTGCAGTCGTAATTATTTGTTTTTTACGACACCGACGAGGCACTCGATCAGGCGATTACTTGTCCATCGACATCGCGTTATCTGCCACGTGCACGGTCGGATACCGTCAGTACGTAAAAGAAGATTTATCACTCGTCGTTTTCCACTCTCGCGGAGAGAGAAAAAGATAGGCAGAGAAAAAGAGAGAGAGAGAGAGAGTCGGTCCTCGCGCGCGCAGTCCCTTATTAGGTAAAACACAAAACACGATCTTACCAATCCGAAACGTTTACGACACGCAGTCACGGAGAGTATTCTCTCGCTCGTCTCGCTCGTCCGGCGCGTAAAAGGGAAATTATTCGGCGGCGGGACACAGAATCAAGTTCTTCCTCGCTCGTTGAAGCGCTCGCTTCCCAGAAAGAAACTGAGCACTTGCTAGTAAATCAATCGGACGCATTAGCGGGCGAATAGAATTATGTGCCGTTGCGCGACGGGCCTAACAGGTGTTATGCGACTTTATAACGTTCAGGGACCTATGTACCTTGCCGGTAGTAACGCGCACGTTTTACACCGACGACCTCTCAACCTTCCACGCTGGAGGTCGTAAGCGGCGCCCTGCCTGGAAAAACGAGCCTTCTCGCGACGCGAGAGAGAGAGAAAGGTTTCTCTTTTCTTCGTTTTTCGACCATAAAATGCTCTATTGAACTAAATCGCGCGGTCTCTCTAAACTGTCGGAATTAAATACGAGCAAAAACTCGCAACGTTTTCTACCAAGATTTAATTTCCGCTCGATGCCAAGAGAGATTCTTCCTCGAAGTCGTTATCACAGTGGTGTCGAGTGGAAATATCGCGTAACGGATCTGCGCGGCCGATCGCGATCGAAATTACACCTAAATGGCTCGAAGCCGACAGCAATGGCTCTTCGGAGATCGCGATCGAAATCGAGCGCGGCTATGCATAAAGACGACGCATAGCGGCTCGACTGACGCGGATAAAAGAGCGTGGCGGTCCTCTCCATTGTGCCGCACGGCTCTCATTACTGCAATTAGCATGCTAATATCGAGATCCAGCCTAATGAATATGAAAATAAGTACCCGGCAATTTCAAAGCACCGTCGGGGCACGCGTACGTACAGAGCCGTAAGTAACGATCTGAGAAGGTGTAAAGATGAATGCACGCCGCTCGGTCGGATAAACACGCATTGTGATCCGTGCGGTGTGTAATTCGTATTTTATCGCAGCCTTGATTCGACTAATTAGAACGTCGTCATTGTCGTCGTCGACGTTGTCATTGTCGTCATCGTCGACATTGTCGTCGACATGCGCAACGCGCGCGCGCGCGGTTAAAGGCACGGCAAATTGTTTTACTGTGAAATTACCGCGCAAGGAGAGGCCACCGTCATGAAAGTTAAAATACAACCGTTTACACACGAACGATACGTGGCTGGTTAGCGCACGCTCGTAATTCGTATCGCTTCATTATAGGCTCGTCGTCGGGTGTTTAAACAAAGCGCGAGCAAAAAGGCATTTTGTTAGTTTGGCATTAAGCCTGCGAGTGAGTGAGATAAACATCGGATCGCGCACCTGCCGCAGAGTTTATGACTTCATCCTGGACCAGCCGATCGCGTGAATCGCGAGCCATTAACGCTGCCCCGCGAGAAAGTATACTTTTCTTACCGGTTTGAATTTGCACGTTGACTTCTCTCGCATCCAGCTTCCCCCCTCCCCCCTCCCACTCGTAACGACGACGTGTTTTACGAACTGCCGATCGCCGCTGCGTATTTGCATTGACAATCAAGCGTTAATGTACAATCGTATCGCGTCATGAATTACCACGGAGTTAATTATATCGGGCATTACGCGAGCATCTGTCGGACGCAAGTGAAACCGCATAAATTGGCGATCGCGTGTTCACGAGATAAGGATGATGAAAATAAATCTTAAAAGGCGGGCGCGTGCGACAAAGTCGTCCGATACAGCGGAGCGCGCGGCTCGAGAATGGATTTCGCGATGGTTTCCCACGAGGCTGCTCACGGCACGCACGGAAGGTGGAAACGATCCTGAATATTTGGCTGCCTCGCAAAATCCGGCTCTAGTGTTAATTACGCCGACGAAGAGTAATGTGCCGCGACAGAATTTCTTTTAAGTAACTCTCGCTGCTTGTAACCCGCCGATGTTATCTCCGGGAAGGGTTTCTCGGCGAGTTAACGAATTCTCGCGTCCGAATTAATTATGTGAATCCGAACGGACGGACGAATGTGCGGACGGACGTACCGACGGACGGAGCAATTCGCGAAAAGGACGGGGAGAAATGGGAGGTGAATAAGGGGGAGAGAGAGAGAGGGAATGTTGTCACGATAATGAGCCATTAAATAATTGTCGCGGCGGGGGAATGGTTTTATTATCGTGCTGCGGCACGATAAGCCCCCTGGCAAAGCTACCGTGAATTCCTCAGACGAACACTTCATTATAAACTTTTGATTGCTTACAACCGCCGCGGGCGCAATTAAAGCGGATTTTAAGCTCTCGCGGGGAATAGACGGATCAATTGATAACGGCGACCGATGGGGAATAAACGATATCGAGATAACGCTTGAAAAATACAGGACCGTATATAGCGCGCTGTTCCAGTATAATATTTCGACTTTTGGCCCTGTAACGGAAGTACTCGAAGTCGAAATTTCAGTCCTACATTAAGTCTTCAGAGATCTTATTGTACTCCTATTGATGCTACAATTGGGAAGTTATTTCTGTTTTCTCCACTTGAAGACTCAATGTAGAATTTAAAATTTCCTTCTGGGAGGTCTGAATTCTCTTTGTAGCATCAAAGGAACATTATCAATGCTCTTCTGATACCGCAAATGGGAAGTCATTTTCATTTTCTCCGTTTGAAGACTTAATGCAGAACTAAGTAGGCTTAATGTAGGACCAAAATTTCAACTCAGGTAACGACAGGAGTTACGCGAGAGTAATGCGAGAAGATGTAAGAGCGGATGAAAAGGACGAAAGTGGTTCTTACGAGAGAGATTCGACGAAGTAATGTCGCAGATAAGCTATGCATACATTTCGAGTCGTTCGACCTCCTACGTAACATACAAACCAGATAAGAGCCGGCAAGAATGTAAAGCGTTTCATCGATGTCGCTTCGAACTTCGTAGATGGCTATGAAAAATACATCGCTTGAGAATAAGAAGGAAGAAGTATCAACTTGGTCAAAGAATCGGTGGATCAAAGCGCGGCGAATCTGGGTCATGGCGTACTACATGTGCGCACACACAACATATGTCGCTTCTAAATGCTTCTAAATGTTAGCATTATCCCCTCCCCCTTCCCCTTCCCCCAGGAAGAAATATAGCGACGATTACGCAGTAATTCCTCGCGGAAGAAAAGCGTGAGCGTTCGCAACGTCGAGCGACAAGCGGCCGCTCGAGATTTCATACGTACACGTAAGGCTCGTAATTTACAGTTAACAAACGCGTCGAACTTTAGCCGAGAGCGAGGAGCGTAAATCGATTTTAAATCGCGCGCATTCTCGTGATAAAAAAAGCCCGTGTGATTTGTATTTATTGCACTCGATATAGTATATACTTCTTCGGTTTGCTCTCATGGAATGTGCGCGTGAGAGGTGTGGTGAAATTTTGCAAAGCGCCTACGCGCGTCTCTTATTGCAACGGCGGCGGAAAGACATTTATCTTGGCGTGCCGGGACTCAAGAGTATCCCTCTTTACAAAGAGAACTCTTTTGTACTTAGAATGCCGCGCGAATGAAAAAAAGATCGTTTCTCGTGCAGTATTCGCGAATAACAGGTGAACGTTCTGCGAAGGTACAAACAGCGTACGCGTCTATTCACGGCGAACGGAATTCCAGATGTGTTCCATGCCCGTTTTGCAGAGTTAAACAACAGCTTTTTAAGAGAACGCGATCGTAATAAATCAAATATCGCGTCCACCAACGTCCGAACAATTCCCGCGAGATACTCAAACGGAATTTCGGGTCTAACTCGCAGCGAAATTAAATCAAACAACCGACATGTTTTCTCCCCGCCAATTCCACACAGTACCAAAATCGGACAATTAAATTCGAGTTCCCGGGTTATTTATGACCATTTCGTGCGACAATAACGCGACATAAGCAGCGATGCAAGCGATTTAATGAGAAACCGGGGGGAATGATGCGCTCGGGAACGGAATCGAGGCGGATCTTCCGCGAGAGGAGGTGAGAGCTTTAAGAATCGCGCTCGCCTCTCAGCATTCGTCCGATCGTCCCGTTAATATCGCGAAATTAAAAGCCCATAATTTATGGGCCATTTGAGGACCTGATGCTATCCCCTGAATTATGGCTCCCTTAACTAGACTTGAGTTACGACGAGACGCTGCGCGGGACCCGTCCTCCTTCGACTCCTCTCCGCTCTTTGAGAGTCGCTCTCCTCTTTTCTTTCCTCACTACCTCCCGCCCGCCCGCTTAACGTACTCACTTTCATCCGCCACCCGCTCTTTTCAGTTCGAACGAATGCATGAGGTGCTGTATCGTGCTTCTCGATTTTCAGATATCTATTTCCGTCGTGGCACCTTCGCTCAAATATGAAGTACCGGTCGGCTTTAAATCTCTCTCCCTCCTCTTGTCCGTCCTTTTTTCGCACGCACGCACATCCTTTTATTATTCGGGCCGCATAAAGCAGAATACGCGACACACACCGCCGGCTCTTTGTCCCTTGGCGGCATAAAATCGGCTTTGATACATACACGAAACGATAATGTCTCGGTTAGCCGTTTTCATTTCTTGAATAATACCAGCGGTGCGACGGAAATACACGTACAAATATAAACGCGACGGTAAATTCGATCTTGGCCGATTCAGTCGCGCGAGATTATTATTATTAATATTATTATCTTTATTAAGTATTGTACAATACTCAATCGCAGAATAAGTACATAAGTGATTAACGAGATTATCAAGATAATGTTCAACGACGAGACGATTACGAAGATCGTTATTAATTTCAGCGATCTCTACACCGCTGTGTTATACATGAGCTCAGTGTCTCCATTGGACACTCAGACAATTAGCAGCCCTTAACCTTTATTTACCATCTGCTGCCGGAAGAGCATAAACGTCGGCCATTCTTCCTAAAACCACCACCACAACCGGTGCAGCAATTTATTGGCTGCGGTAGCAGCCATGCTCGATGTAAACAAGTCCCTCCTCGGGACGGGGACTCGTTCTCGGAGGGAGAGAGAATTTTTCTTTGGCGATTTTATTCGTTAAAGCGAACATCCCAAAATAATTTGAAAAAAAAAAAAATTGAACGCGACCCAATCTTGGAATTTTTCCTTTTTCCACGTCCTGTCCTGTTCCACAAACGCTTGCACATCCGCGAGAGATCCTACGATTCCTCCAGCGCTTCGTACGATGGATCTCGTTCCTCCAATGGTCCGAGTACCATTGGAGCGTGTATAAATACCCGTTTTGCTTCCTGAAGAGCTCTCGAGAGTCTCGTAGCCGGGCACCTGTTTCGCGTCGCGGTCTGCTAAGGATTCCCGAGTAGGTAGGTAACAATTTTCCTTAAGTAGCATACCCCATCTGGGTATGGCCGCTAATCGGCCAGTCGCCGTTTACGTTTCTACGGTTCGCTCACGATCGACGAAAGAGACAGGGAGAGAGAAAAAGAGGGGAGGAAGGGATAAATCGAAGATGAGAGCGCACATGTCATCGCGTAATAGAAATCACCCGGCCAGACGACCGGAAATAATTCCGCCACGCCCCGCTTCTTCTTTGGATCGACGACGACCGGGACGTTCGAGATCCTGCGGTTTGCGTTCCGAATGATCGTGTCTAATGAATGTGACGATACGCTTTCACTTGGCGCTTCGTCTGGTCGACGAGGAAATATTCCGGCATGGCGGGATGTCGTTAAATTTGTACTAAAAGCACATGAGAACTCCTCGCCTTGCAGATCATGAATACGCATTTTTTTTTTGTTTCCGTTCGGCGGTATTAACGCAAATTTTAATGGGCGTTACGCGAGTCACTCGTTTCCGATCACCATGAAAATGGCGTTCACCGTGTTTTTCTCGTGAATCATAGTAGTTTCTCATTAAAATCTGAAATCAGGTTTAAAGGAAGTTAAAGATAGGACATATGTTAACCTCAAGGAATACGTATGAAAAGTGTCACTTTCAACTGCGAACATCTCAACTTCCGAATGGTCAAATATGGTTTTTTAATTGCGCCAGTAATCAGGTTATATTTAAATCTATACGTAGTGCAAGTGTGAACGAATTCTTAAGAAACTCATTTTATGCTACAACTACCTTAATGAATCGCGAACATACATATAATGATGTACCGTGCATATGTGATGCGCATGACGTACGATCGGTCGATCGAGCGAGCGAACGAGCGATCGATTGAATCCACTTGAGGTGACTAGTCGCCTATGTGCGACGCGTTAATGTCCGATTCAGCCGCGAGTACGTTAAAGTCAGCTTTGATAAATCGTTTATTAACAACACTCCGACTAACCGGCCGGCCGCTGTCTAACGTTTTAATAACGACGTCTCGAGCCTCGTATATCTATCGGGAAAGTCGAGGTGGACGGTGTAACGCTGTAATAAACGGAATACACCGCGCCTTTCTTTACGCCTTTCCTTTCCTTTCCTTCTGCCCCGACAAAATTGGCACAATTTGATGAATATTATATACCACTCGTTGATCACAGGGAACTAGCCGTTCGCGCTCATTATACCGAAGGTCGTACGTTAGAATTAATTAAACACACTTGACTGCGCCACAAATGGCCGTGCCTCCTATATACGAGCGAAGCGCGGTACATAAATCGTCAATAGCGTTTCGTAAAAGTGTTATCCTCGCTCGCGAGAAGTGGCGAATATCACGTTTTACGTGTCTATTAGTTTATTAGGCGCGTATAATGGAATATCGAGTGTGTACCTTTTGCGTGCGAACGCCTCTCTTTCCTTTCGCGCAACGCGGAATTTTCTCGCGAGTCCCGACGCGATTTCCAAGCTGCCGAATAAACCCTACTCCCGTATCTTCCGAGAAAAGCGCGACCTTACGCGATACCGCGGACATCGCATACATGTCGATAATGCGATCGGCTTCTACGGAGCGAGCACGTGTCGTACAGAACCATTTATGCTCGGCACCGCGCAATGTACAGCTGTAGACACGTGTGCGCTACGTGCGCGGCTGACGAGGTGAAAGAGGAAGAGACGAGAGGAGAAAAAGGGGGAACGGGGGAGAGAGAGAGAGATGAGATCTCGTTCCGTTCGTACGTGCTCGCTGTCATACAGTAGAGTTAATTAAGTGTGTTTAATTAAACTCGTTGTTCCCCTTTTAATGCCCTGCCTCCCTTGCCCATCCTCTCTCCTTACAGAGTTACACTTCTCTGACAGTCGACGTTCGCCATTCCTACTTCTCCACCCCGTCCCGTCGTCGTTTCTCCCGTTTTCCCCGTTCCTCGTTGATGGACTTAGAAGTGCTAATGGCTCCAGCTTCGATTCCAAGTATGGCTGGAATTTCTCCGGTGACCGGTGGACTCGACGGGTTCCTTCGAACCGAAGCAGAGAGAGAGAGAGAGAGAGAGACCGGACGCAACAGTGAAACGATGAAATAGTGCGATCTTCTGATACTTTTTTACTCGTCACAACATGCGAGACGATTCCGAAAGCTGAATATTTTTCTTCTGCATGCGCGCGACCGGAAGAAATATATCATGTTGCACCTATAATATTTAATTGCATTCGGCGGGGACAAACCGCGGGTATCTTGTTCCCTCTTCGCGAGTTTTTGACGCAATCCGTTATTTCAAACCGTAAACGTAGCCAAGCGATAAATAAAGGCCTCATTGAATTCGTTCGGGCGATGCATTGCTCGCGGCAATTATCGATCGTCGACTCGGGGAGTAACAGTTTGTACAACTTCCCCGCGCTGATGATAAATAAAATGCCGTTACGCGAAACGTGCGGGATAGCGGGACGACGAGATGTTCGAGGAAGTCATATGAGAGAGAGAGAGAGAAAGAGAGATAAGCTCCCGTGGGTTCCCCTCACATTTGACGCGAGGCCGCGCTGCTCGATTATCCTCGCACGCCACCCATAACTCGCGGACAAAGCGAAAAATTAAGTACACCAGTTTTTCGGACTCGCTGCGAAGCTTCTACTTAGCTGCGGCCCGTTCGACG